GGCCTGTACACATGTAGGCGGGAGCTGGTGCAGGCCCGTGCCAGGAGCACCCCGGGCCGCACAGCCTGGTCCAGGCCTGACCCGTGCCCTTGGCAGTGCTGCGCAGAGGCAGGCTCCTGTGTTGGGCTCAGCCCAGGGGCCAGGCCGCAGCCCCGTGTTGCGGCGCTGAGGGGCCCCGACCCACCCGCAGCGTTAGGGAGAGGGCAAGGAGCCGATGAACAGCAGGGCAGGATGCCCGGGAACACGAAGACGCTGGACCCTCGCTATTTCGTGCTCATCAAGCCGCTGCCCAATCCCACACAGAAAGGCGTAAAGGTGCGGGCCAGGAGCAGCACCGCGTACCGGCGCTGGGAGCCCAGGCGGGAGGACGTGTTCTGGGAGAACTACCACCGACGGCACCAGCAGCTCACTCGGCAAGGCTACTGGACCCCCAGCTGGAAACCCTACCAGGAGCTCGGGGAAATGCTCTACCTAGAACCAAAGAAACTCACCCTCTACTACTTGGGACAGCTCCCTCAGGTAGGCTTTCCTCTCCTGCTCTGTTTTCTGTTTTTTCCCGTTTTTGGTTTTCAGTAGACGCAAGAAGAGCATCGTACTGTAATTAAATTGTAATTAAATTCCCATAGAAAAGAACAGTCAATTTCTGTTTAAAGAACAAGAAGGGAGTCTGCAGCAAGGCGCCGCGCTGGCCGATGAATCAATAATTCCGATGTGATAGAATGAATAATGGCAGCGCAGAACATCTGTACAAACGAAGCCAAACGTAGCGCTCTGACCTTTTGTGTTGCAGATTGAGAACCGAGAAGAGAGGTATTCAGAGTTGAAAGTTTTAGTACTTACTCTTTTAACAGAGCAGAGGAATTAGACGAATGAGAGTGAAACTTAGAGAAGGGGGAATGCACTCTTTTGTGGGATGGGTAATCAGATCACCCCTGAAAAAGGAAGGAAAGGAAACAAACAGAAGAGGCAATATATAAGAGTGAGAAAAGAGTGGTTGCACAGAGAACAGGAGTCGTCAAAGAAATGATGGGTTTATAGGAGGGGTGTCAGACTCACTCTGCCCATCCTTTGGGCTGGATCTGGGCTGCAGTCCATACATTTGATACCCCTGATCTATAGAATAGGCAGTGGGTTAGGAACTGAGTGTAAAAGGGACATCTCAGAATTGGAAACAAGGTGATGGGTCAAAGAATGAAAAACGTTATCAAAGAGGGTGGTATGAAAGCCCTTGTATCAGTTAAAGTTATTTCATGTTATGAACTGTATCTGTATTGGAGTTCACAAAGTCACCTATTGTTAACTGGATCTGCTGTTACATTTAATACCCATTTAAGTATTACTTCATCATAGTCCCCTTGCTGTTAGATATTGTGTAAGTGGGTAGAGCTCTACCATGGGTCTTCATTACTGTCTGATTTAATGACAAAAAAATTAGTTTGCTTGGTTGCACCTGAGATGAAATTATAAAATCCTGTTTGTTAGCTGTAGGATTGCTGCCTCATGCCAGAAAATTTGTCTCCCTTATGTTCATGCTCTCATCCAAGGGAGGTAACTCCACCTGTTGTGTGAATAAGCCTGAATACTCTTCTACTTCTGCACCCCAGTAACTGTAATGCGGGCCTTGATTTCAACTGAGCTGTACTTTCTAAAGTGGTACCCAGGAGGCAGTTGTTTGCAGCTGCCATGGAAATCAGTAGTGGTGTGGTAGAAGGAAGGAAAACAGAGGAGAGACTAATCACCCACTGCAGAGGAGATTCTGACTATTCGCTGCTTAATTCTCTGCAGTGAATGTATGTTGGAAGAACATTCAGAGATATAAGGACTTCCATTCACTGTTTAAAGCTTTCAAACAGGCACTGGTTCCCATGCATTATTTTTCTAACTTTCTGACACTTGATCATCTTGCCCTATTAGGTCAAAGGTATGGTTCTATGGGTACATGGGTGTACTACCAATATAGCCATCATCTTTGACCTCTGAAATCCCTTTCTTCTGAACCTACAAATACCTTTTAAGGTTGATCTTTCCATTACACTGTGGAAGTCAGTGGAAATTTTGCACAGGATATGGGCATTATAAAGGGAGATATTGAAATTGAGTTTGAATACTGGTATTTGAGATTTAAGTCAAATTAGCAGGTTAAAAATGTATACTTTCTGCAAAAATGAGCTTGATCTGGGTCAGGTCTGTATTAAAAATACAGTGTATGACTGTAACTTAAATTGGAGATTTTCTAAGCTCATGGGGGAATTAACTGCCCAACTCTTTTATTATTGTGGGATTTGTGTGGCTAAACCCCCTAGTCAGCTTTGTAAATCTCAACCAAATTTATGTAATAAAATATGATTTTACTTTAAAAGACCAAAACTACCTTACCATAGCACTATGCTGGAATATTTTTATGATTCACTATATATTCAGAGTACTATACCTTACCATTTCAACCACTGGGTGAGTAAACTGTAGAATTCTAGAAGTGAAAAATATAATCTCTTTGACTATATTTGCAATACGGGCCTTCCAAAAGTTAGCCTTTGATTAGCCTATGAAGAATAGCAACACTGAGTAACAGTGAAGTCTAAACAGAATAGTCAGAAGATTAGAACCCTCTGTGAGTTGAATTAGACCTGGGCTGGAGTTCTTCTGTAAATTAGCATCTGTTTACAAACACTCTTT